AGAAAAGGGGGCGGGGCCAGTGTCGCAGAAATATGCCCAAAAACAGAACACAACGCGTCCCTGTGCCCTTAAGGGACTTATGTAGGGGAGGGCAGCGGTCGCTTTGAAGGTGCTAAGTCAAACAATCTAACTTAAGTCTGACTTGCAACACGCGCGCGCGTACTAGATTAGGGCTACCTGCACTGGTGCTCCAGTGGTCAGTTAAGAAAGATCACACTCGTTATCATCATCAATTTGCCGTGTGGCAGAGTAGAATACATTTGTCACCAACCCCTACTCTTCCCGCGGGTGTCGTAGGAGGTGACTTAGGGAATACACATTAAACAGAAAACGGGCAGTAGCGCTCTCTGATTTAAACCTGTAATATGTTATTTACCTATGTTCCACAAATAAACGAATTTGATTTGATTTGATTTGATTTGAAACATCAATAATCTTTTAAATTACGATCTCCAACCCGCCTGCCAAGCGTGAAGATTATAACAAAATCCCTGACTAAAGTGGAGGATGCTCATAGTCCAGTGGACTGTAAAGAGCTGTTGATGATGATGATGATGATGATGACACATGCCCAATTTATAAACATGTTGCATGCGAAATATCTATGTAACTAAACACAATATTATATCGTTTCAGACTCCCCCATCATGCTGTCGTTCCCTCACTTCTACCTGGCGGACCCGAGCCTGTTGGACGCGGTGGAAGGGATATCCCCACCAGTGGCCGAAGACCACAGACTGTTCATTGACGTGCAACCGGTGAGTATTCCTTTCGTTGGTTTTCCTTTCAGCCAGACATTTAGCCGACGATGGAGCAGCAAGGTTCTGGAATGGAGGCCACGTACCAATCGATCAACATGGAAAACATTGGGGGAGGCCTATGTTCATCAATGAACAATGGACGTCCTATCTTATGGCTGAAATGATGATGATGATGATGAAGGTATCGGATTGTCCGACTCGAGCCCCGCTGCCGCTTGACTGGGCTTACCACAGTTATTTGGCTTAGAGGGGTTAACATAATAAATCAGTAATTTGTAAACATTCTTTAAAAAGTGCGAACATCCGTCCAGTGGCGTAACTACACTGGTCATCACAAAAATCGGCCCACCTACGTTTTACAGAAAAACTCGTTTCTACTGACACAATCATGGTGCCCCATCAATATTGGTGTTATTTGAAAGCCCAATAAATATCCTTAAAGAAAAACACATTTAATTTCCTAGTAAACAATTAACATATACAATAAATGTGACTTGAAAAATTGAAAAAAGACGTCACTTTGGGCTCACCTCTGGCATCAATTAGAAAAATTTTTATGGTTATAAAACCAAATAATGATCTCACGTGTCCTCTTTAACAGATGGATAGCGATTAATCCCAACTTAACAGTTTTATAGCCATAAAAGTTGGCTCTCTTCTTCTACAGACATATTTTTGGGGTAAAAACCTTTCCTTTAATGAAATAAAGTTTAGAACTAGGCTTTTAAATGGTAATATAGTATAGTAATATTTGTGGGAAGTGGGGATGCATACGTTTGAAAGTGCTTGTCGCGGGTGGGTCAATTTGTATGATGACCAGTGTATATCAACCTAGCCCAGTGGAACTTTTTAGGGTTTTTTTTATTCAGGGGGCTCGGGACCATCGCCCTGAAGCAACGCGAGAAAGATTTTGCCAGCTCCGCCACCCTATAGTTATGCCACTGCATCCGTCCTCTCTAAAAGTCATTAATTTTCATCAAATAGGCGCTTTTTTAAAAGTGCTTAATGCTTACACTCGACCCAGTATTAGTTTAACCTCTATAAGCGTTGGCCAAATCCTCTCTTCTGGTTCTGGAGTTCTGGATTGTAGGCCACGTACCACCGGAAAGCTAAACGTAGGACCGACGACCTCATAAAGGTAGCGGGTGGCGCTGGATGCAGGCCGCTACCAACCGGCCATTGTGGAAATCATTGGGGGAGGCCTATGTTCAGCAGTGGACGTCCTGTGGCTGAAATGATGATAATAATAAGACATTTAGCTATCCCCTGGTGGGACTACCTACTCAACCTTCATAAGTTGGGTTTCATTGGAAGCCAAGCTGTAGATCCTGGCTATAACAACAATTTTTTTTATCCATAACGAGGAATCTTTTGGCCAGCATCTCATCTGATTTGATCTGATGGAACGGGATGATCAGGCCAACGAAGGTAGAAACGAGTTTAACCATCACCAACCATTTGCTAGCAAATTAGTCATTTATGCTCCTGCAATGGAGACTAAACTTGAATGATGATCCCAATTTCTTCTTTGGTCTATTAGGGGTAGTCGTCCCACGCTGCGCTTTTCACTTTACGATGTGCGTGATAATGATGATGACAATAGTGACTGAGTTTCTTGCGCTGCTGCTTCTCAGCACTGGCCCATTTATTGTCCTGAAGCAGTGGTAGGGTTAATACTGGGATGTGTAAAAGTACTTTTTAAAGCCTATAGTCTGGTCTGTGAGCACGTAGAATTTTGTCCAATGACCCCAAGCTACCCATCCTTATCGCTCGCGCGTAATTGTGTTGCTATCGCGCTCGCACACTCACTGCGGGCGCCCGTCGCACAGTCGCGACAGCAATATAATTACGCGCGAGCGATAAGGATGGGTAGCTTGGGGTCATTGGACAAAATTCTACGTGCTCACAGACCGGGCTTTACTTGCATAAATAAATGAGTTTTATGAGTTTTTATATAACGAATGCTTCTTCTTTTCTCTACAGGAGATGGGTATAGCAATGCGAGCGCGCGCCCGCATCCAGATCAACCTTGCCGTCTCGCAGGTGGTGGATATCAAACAGGTGGCCAACTTCCCTGATATCGTCTTCCCTATACTGTGGTTTGAGGAGGTGAGTTGTTGTTCTGTTTTGTTCTTTTACAGATACTGTTGTTTTGTTTGTCATCTTCTTCTAAATTTATATAACTCAAAGGGGACTGACTGACTGACTGACATAGTGATCTATCAACGCAGAGCCCAAACCACTGGACGGATCGGGCTGAAATTTGGCATGCAGGTAGATGTTATGATGTAGGCATCCGCTAAGAAAGGATTTCACGAAACTCCGCCCCTAAGGGGGTAAAACAGGATCCACGCGTACGAAGTCGCGGACGGCCGCTAGTTTTCTATAAGTTTGAAACAGGTCTTCAAATTATACGATATCGTGTACCCCATATTATGGTTTTTATATTGAGGGGACACAATAAAACCATCGATTGATGCAACGATGATCTTCCAAAAAGACTCGAAAATTGTTCTAATAAATATTCGTTAAAACTGATTTTTATGGACAGTAACATTGGGAAAAAACTGCCCGAATAATCATCATAACTGAATTGGGACAAAAATAGACTGGTGGTAAAATTGAAATCCAAGGAAACAGAAAGGAAAGGAAAGGTGACTAATTCCACCGCCACCCATGGTTCTTCATGCCTCACGTACCTACGAACCGAATCTCGGGAGAACACGCGGGTACTTGCTCTGGGCTTCTTTCCCCAGGGGCTTTGCTTGACTGCCTACAATTTCTTTGTAAAGATTAATCGTAATTTTTTATTGCACAAATGACTAATNGCAATTGGTTTTATGAATTAAATTGCTAAAATATTTTTATAGTCGTGAAAGAAAAGTGGTTCACAATGTGTTAAAGTATTTGTCGAAGAGAAATACTAAGGGTTTGGACAATATTTTCATTGAATAATGTTTCTGACAAAGGTTGTCAAATTGACTGACATGTTTATCGTATAGTACAGTCCACTATGAAAATTAGCTGTGGTTTGTTTCAACTACCTATTTTAAAATTTTTTGTCACTTTCTAAGTGTTGAATTTTATGGGATTGGGAAAGAAGTACCGAGTTTGAAGCGTTCATGAGCAGACATTGCAGTTGAATATTCAAGTTCTGAATTTGATTATTGATGAATAATAAAATAAATTCTACTAGCTCGATTGATGGTTTCATTTAATTTATTTAAAATCAGGTTACCTATAATAATATTTTTTCGTTAATTTATGAAAATATCAAACTAGCCCGTAATCCTGAATCCTGATACATAAAGTTAGTCTATTAATTTAACACAGGTACGACTGTACTCAGTGTTGCACTATCAAATGCAATTGACGCGCCTCTATGCCAGGGTTTTTATGTTCCTGGTCAGGCTATAGATCGATTGAGTGGTTACAAACCACACCCTGAGCACCACGTCGGTGAAAGAAAGCAGGAGAAAATTCTGCGACAAATCATCTTGTGGTAATTTAATAAAAACGGATTCTATTTGCTTCATTCCTTCAATATTTTTATTAAACTTTCATATTTCTCCCGATTCTCAGAAAAATTTCGTTTCCTTGAGAACCACATTTCGCCGAAATGGTTTGTAGAAGGCACTTAATATTGTTAGTCAGTACATTAAATGGTTTTTAATTTGTGCCAAATAAATAGAGTTGAATGTAAAGTAGTACTTAACGTAAAACAAGTTCTTATACCCTCAATACATATTATAATGTGCATATAATATGAATTCTTGTCCGAAATTAATTGAGTCAAGCTGATGCACTATGCTACTGCCATTCATTTGAAGGTCGTCGGTCCATCACGTTGAGATGAGTTTGCATTTATAAATTTTATATAAATTACATATTAACTGATACAGTAGACCAGCAAAAGCTAATTCCTAGGATTTTTAATGAATTTAAGACTTTGTTTTACCCCTTCAGCAGTGAACTATAATACCTATTTTCAATAATCAAGCTAACTTCGTTCAGCAAATATTCACACAAGGGCGTAAATCTGGAATCATGTCGAGAGAAGCCAAATTCATCGGAAACGGAGTTAGCAGATGCAAGCGTGATTCAAAACTCAAATTGATGTTCGCGTATGTTCAGTGAACAGCGCCGCCACAAAGCGGGAAGTAAATTCGCTTTACCTTCGTTTATTACGTTGCCCTTTCGTAGTCACTTGTTTACTGCGTGAAGATCACTGGTCTAGTTGTAGAAGACAGGACGCGGGGTTGATTAACGTCGAAGGGCAGGTCAGCAAAATGAAACACAGGGCTCGATCCAAACGTGACAGTAATAGCGTGTTCAAACGGCGACTGAGGCATGAGCTCACACAATCACAGCAACGGACAATTGTTATCTTTGTCTCGCTCACGCCCCAGTCCATCTTACTCTAATAACAATAGACAATAGTTACTTTGTATAGAAATTCTACTACAAAAAGGTTCTACCGTTAACATTCCACCCCCTGGTTGAGGGCTTAAGTCCGAAACATTACATATTTGACGTAGGTAGAACCGCGATCTTTGTAGCTGGTCGCCGTAGCACTCCATGGGAAGTCCGCACGTCCGCAACTCGAACCTGCCCGTCCGCGCCAGGATACACCTTTTCTATTATCCCGCGCGGCCACACGTTGCGGGGTAGAGCACCGTCCACGACGATCACGACGTCGCCTGGCTGAAGCGGTGGTACTGCTTCCGTCCACTTCTGGCGTGGTTGCAACGTAGGCAGATATTCCTTTAGCCACCGTGCCCAAAAGATATCAGCCAGCGCCTGAGCAATTCTCCACTGTTTACGACTGCACAAGTCGGTCTTGACGAAGTTTCCCAGACGCGTCGCATTTGAGGCGGTTCCCAGCAGCAGGTGGTTAGGTGTAAGCGCCACTGGATCTCTCGGGTCAACAGCCACGTGCGTCAACGGACGGCTGTTGATTATGGCTTCTATTTCCGCTAGCACCGTTTGCTCTTCTTTTGGGGCTCGCTCCTTCAGGGTGGCTTTTAACGCGGCCTTCGTGGAACGAACGAGCCTTTCCCAGCACCCGCCCATGTGTGGTGATGCCGGCGAGATGAAGCTCCACTGGATGCCCTTCGTGGTTGCCTCTTCTTCGAGTTGTCGATCCAAATTTTTAAACGCGGTTTTCAGTTCACGGTCGGCATTTATGAAGTTCGTTCTTCGGTCCCTATATATCATCTCTGGTTTACCTCGACGAGCGATAAACCTTCGCAGTGATAAACCTATGACTGCTGAGTCAGCGCTGAGTGATACGGCGCTCTCCAAGTGTCTCCAATCTTTGTTGAGGGCGCGTAGAGTTTCCCCGTGGTACTTTATTATCGGGCCCGATGTTTCTGGATTTGCTGCGAGTGTATGACGACATATTCTTCGACGATCCGATTCTCGAAGGACCACTTTGTAGAAGACAGGACGCGGGGTTGATTGACGTCGAAGGGCAGGTCAGCAAANCATTCAATATAATATTTAAACTTTAAAATATTTATAATTAAAATAAAGGGCGGCGGATTTCCGGACGGCCCCGGGCGGCGAAAAGCCACGCTACGCCACTGCTCACGCCCCAGTCTATCTTACTCTAATAACAATAGACAATAGTTACTTTGTATAGAAATTCTACTACAAAAAGGTTCTACCGTTAACATTCCACCCCCTGGTTGAGGGCTTAAGTGCGAAACATTACATATTTGACGTAGGNTTTCTAACACGTATGTATTTTTTTCCAATCGTTTTAGCAATTAATTCTCACTGAATCCGAAATTCAAATACCACAAATTTTAACACTACCAATTTTTTATCTTTCGCAATCGCTATGTCAAATATCAGTTAATTTTTTTTCAAATCTACCTTCATTTGCGTTTTTTTTATTTTTATTATGATGTTTTCTTTGATATTAGCGTACGTTCAGAAACGCTTATAATATGTGTTACTTTTTATAATCAAAAAAGTACTTCGTAGACATATGGCAACACTATGCATTTAAGGGTTAAAGTTTCGAACGTAGGAGTTAGCAGTCGCGGGTTTGATTCCCATTGAGAAAATAAAATTGGTCTTGAACGTTTACCTAATAATACGTGTAATGTAATGTATTTATAATTTAAATAAGTTTTGTATTTCAATTCAATGTTTATCTTGCTATCTAGAAATCTTATTAAGCTATTAGTTTTGAATTTGTAGGCAATTGATTTTTTATCTCTAACTAGGTACTTTATTTAAAATAGCTAATAAAGTCAATTGCTGTGTAAAGTAAGCATAATTNATTAATTATACACATATTTTCTACTTTGCGGAACATTTGCACGAGAACGGTTTGTTCAAAACATATGAATTTGGTCTTATTTAATGCAGGATTAAATGCCCTTCAACCGTCAGGAAGACCACTTTTCGATAGGGTAAGTCCTTTACGCGGTATAAGTAACCGGAATACCGAAAAAGCGCCCCTTTCGGGGGCCCCCACCACTTAAGCACAACTCCGTCGAAGTCGAAAACCTAGGAGAATCTTTATGGGCAACTAATGAAGCCATTAAAGCACTAAAATCTTTAGTAGGAATTATTTCCGATTTAATTCATTTTTGTGTTTAATTCTACTGGCCTATATATGTTACGGTCAAAGTGATAAATGTGAAAATTATGAATAATCGCCGGTTATTATGAATAATTACCGCATGATTTGGTTAATGTGATTAATATGAGGTCATTTATGTGTGTATAAAACTAAATAGGCGGCTTAGGGGTGGCCCAAGGGCCCCCCCCCGCCGCACCTTAACCTATTTTTCACTTTAAATCAAAACATTATGTTATAGGCATCATGGAAAAGTAATATTATNCCACGTAATGCTAGATGAGACATTTGTGTGCTAATCGTGATGAAATCGAGCATTACGGATATTCAAACACTCGTAAGAATACAACAGTATTGGTTTCCTAAACAAAAAGTGCAAAGATTCTGTCAGAGTTTGTTGGTCCCTATAAATTGACAGAAATTTTAGGAAATACGATACATAGGATAGCTACTGGTGTTCTAAGTTTAAAAAAAAAAACATTATGATCCATTATACAAGCTTAGATTCATGTTTAGGCCTTTGAAAAACATATTTCTGATGTAGTAAAGTGATAAATAAATAATGAACAGTATGCTCTTTAAGTAGGCATATTATTATGCTCTCTGTGGGCAATTAAAGTAAATGTTATAAGTTGTAGAAGACAGGACGCGGGGTTGATTAACGTCGAAGGGCAGGTCAGCAAAATGAAACACAGGGCTCGATCCAAACGTGACAGTAATAGCGTGTTCAAACGGCGACTGAGGCATGAGCTCACACAATCAAAGCAACGGACGATTGTTATCCTTGTCTCGCTCACGCCTTAGTCTATCTTACTCTAATAACAATAGACAATAGTTACTTTGTATAGAAATTCTACTACAGAGGTTCTACCGTTAACATTCCACCCCCTGGTTGAGGGCTTAAGTCCGAAACATTACATATTTTACGTAGGTAGAACCGCGATCTTTGTAGCTGATCGCCGTAGCACTCCATGGGAAGTCCGCACGTCCGCAACTCGAACCTGCCCGTCCGCGCCAGGGTACACCTTTCCCNCAGTTGAATGTGTGTGTGGGAGCTGTGGTGGGGGAAATGTGGGGACACTGGTTCTCGTTGTAGTTACGCGCGACTTCATATCTATTCTCTTTCTATGATCTGAGGATTTTATCTATTATTTATAGATACAAGCTGGTGAGACGTCATGAATAAAAAAATAAACTTTGTAAAAATATCAGGGCTAAAGAAAGGCCGCAAAGAGACAAACAAAAATGTTGCCTGTTTGTTCAGATACAAAACAAGCATCCGTTAAAATAAGACCATAATTCTATTTGCTTTTCAGTGGCTGTAGAAAACAGGACGCGGGGTTGATTAACGTCGAAGGGCAGGTCAGCAAATGAAACACAGGGCTCGATCCAAACGTGACAGTAATAGCGTGTTCAAACGGCGACTGAGGCATGAGCTCACACAATCAAAGCAACGGACAATTGTTATCTTTGTCTCGTTCACGCCCCAGTCCATCTTACTCTAATAACAATAGACAATGGTTACTTTGTATAGAAATTCTACTACAGAGGTTCTACCGTTAACATTCCACCCCCTGGTTGAGGGCTTAAGTCCGAAACATTACATATTTTACGTAGGTACAACCGCGATCTTTGTAGCTGGTCGCCGTAGCACTCCACGGGAAGTCGGCACGTCCGCGACTCGAACCTGCCCGTCCGCGCCAGGGTCCAGGGTACACCTTTTCCATCATCCCGCGCGGCCACACGTTGCGGGGTAGAGCACCGTCCACGACGATCACGACGTCGCCTGGCTGAAGCGGTGGCACTGTTTCCGTCCACTTCCAGCGTGGTTGCTACGTAGGCAAATATTCTTTTAGCCACCGTGCTCATGTGTGGTGATTCCGGCGAGGTGAAGCTCCGCTGGATCCCCTTTGTGGTTGCCTCTTCTTCTAGTTGTCGTTCCTTTTTAAACGCGGTTTTCAGTTCACGGTCGGCGTTTATGAAGTTCGTTCTTCGGTCCCTATATATCATCTCTGGTTTACCTCGACGAGCGATAAACCTTCGCAGTGATAAACCTATGACTGCTGAGTCAGCGCTGAGTGATACGGCGCTCTCCAAGTGAATGGCCTGCGTGGTTAAGCATGTCAGGACCACATCCCAGCGTTTCTCTCGCCTTCTCCCGATGGTAACCTCCATGGGTCCGAAATAATCGATGCCGCACTGAGTGAAGGCCCGCCTGTGATGCATCATCCTTGCTGTTGGAAGGTCTCCCATCTTTGGCGGTGTTGGGCGTGCTTTCCGCACACGGCAAAGTTGGCAGTTCTGCGCCACTCGTTTTACTGTCGGCCGCAGCTTGATGATCCAGAACTTTTCACGGAGCAAATTTACCACAGTCTCATTATTACCGTGAAGGCTTCGGCAGTGGTAATGCTGTACCAGTACCTCGGTAGTTCGATCTGGGCCGTCCAGAATGATGAGGTGGCGTTCTTCGTAGGGAATATCAGCGGTCCCCAGCCTTCCCCTTACGCGTAGCAGTTCGTCTTCATCGAGCATTGGGTCCAAATTCTTCAGGCAGCTCTGCGAAGGTAATGGCTCGCCCATCTTGATCTTTTTCAGGTCCAATGAAAATGCCGTCTTTTGCGACTGTTTGATCAAGTAGGTCTCCGCTTCATCGATCAATTCTCCTGTGATAGAGCCGGTCTTCGTCTTCGGTCGGCGCAGCCACGCTAGTACACGCGCAGTAGTACGTACGGTGCGTGTCCACGAAGAAAACCTCGTGACATCTATCGTCGGCTCCAGGGCTTCCGCTGTCACGCAAACTGGCATCGTNTGGATCTCTCGGGTCAACAGCCACGTGCGTCAACGGACGGCTGTTGATTATGGCTTCTATTTCCGCTAGCACCGTTTGCTCTTCTTTTGGGGCTCGCTCTTTCAGGGTGGCTTTTAACGCGGCCTTCGTGGAACGAACGAGCCTTTCCCAGCACCCGCCCATGTGTGGTGATGCCGGCGAGATGAAGCTCCACTGGATGCCCTTCGTGGTTGCCTCTTCTTCGAGTTGTCGATCCATATTTTTAAACGCGGTTTTCAGTTCGCGGTCGGCGCCTACGAAGTTCGTTCCTCGGTCGCTATACATCACCTCTGGTTGACCTCGACGAGCGATAAACCTTCGCAGTGCCATGACTGCTGAGTCAGCGCTGAGTGATGCGGCGATCTCCAAGTGAATGGCCCGCGGTTAAGCATGTCAGGACCACACCCCAGCGTTTCTCTCGCCTTCTCCCGATAGTAACCTCCATGGGTCCGAAATAATCGATGCCGCAGTGAGTGAAGGCCCGCCTGTGATGCATCATCCTTGCTGGTGGAAGGTCTCCCATCTTTGGCGGTGTTGGGCGTGCTTTCCGCACACGGCAAAGTTGGCAGTTCTGCGCCACTCGTTTTACTGTCGGCCGCAGCTTGATGATCCAGAACTTTTCACGGAGCAAATTTACCACAGTCTCGTTATTAGCGTGAAGGCTTCGGCAGTGGTAATGCTGTACCAGTAGCTCGGTAGTTCGATCTCGGCCGTCCAGAATGATGGGATGGCGTTCTTCGTAGGGAATATCAGCAGTCCCCAGCCTTCCCCTTACGCGTAGCAGTTCGTCTTCATCGAGCCTTGGGTCCAAATTCTTCAGGCAGCTCTGCGAAGGTAATGGCTCGCCTATCTTGATCTTTTTCAGGTCCAATGAAAATGCCGTCTTTTGCGACTGTTTGATCAAGTAGGTCTCCGCTTCATCGATCAATTCTCCTGTGATAGAGCAGGTCTTCGGTCGGCGCAGCCACGCTAGTACACGCGCAGTAGTACGTACGGCGCGTGTCCACGAAGAAAACCTCGTGACATCTATCGTCGGCTCCAGGGCTTCCGCTGTCACGCAAACTGGCGTCGCTCGAAGCTCGATGTTTGCGTCAGGAGTGCATTCAGCAGCAGCTTCCATAGGCCATTCCTCTTGTGGTTTGCGCAGGAATGCCGGCCCACTAAACCAGATGGACTTATCTTGCGACCATCCCGCACGAGTGGCTTCGTCTGCTGGATTTTCTGCAGTCGGAACCCAGCGCCAATCGTCTATGTTCGATTTTCTGTCGATCTCAGCAAGTCGATGTGCGACGAAAGGTTTGTACTCCCTCGGGTTCGACCTTATCCAAAACAACGTTGTCTTCGAGTCGCTCCACAACGTCGTTTTTATGATGTCGAAGTCGCTATCCTTTTTTACTGTCTCGGCCAATCGACAGACTAGTACCGCGGCTTGTAGCTCGAGCCTCGGCATTGAAACTATCTTGATGGGTGCGACTCTCGCTTTTTCCGCTACGAGCGCGACGTTTCTACATTCATCCACGAAGTACGCGACGGCTGAGTATGCTTTCTCGCTTGCATCTCCGAACACGTGTAATTCTACAGCCCAAGACCTCAGTCCGTACCATCGCGGTATCTTAAGATCTTGCAATTGTCGCAGGTCACTCAACCACTTGCTCCAGTCACGGAAACAGTCTTCGTTCAGAACTTCGTCCCATTGCGTTCCCGCTCGCCATATCTTTTGCATAAGAATCCTGGAGCCAATTGACAACGGGCAAATGAGTCCCAGTGGGTCAAAGAGACTCATTATGAAGCGCAGAAACTCTCTCTTCGTGGGCACTTCATCGCCATTCACCATTTCGGAACGTAGCCTCTTGAATGACAGGTCAAACGCAAGGGTGTCTTCGCTGGTTATCCATATGAGGCCAAGGGTTCGTTCGGTTTCTCCTCCAAGTTTCGACAAACTGACACTCTCAACGACGCTTGGTAGTTTCTCTCGGAGTTCGTTATTGTTTGTCGACCACCCCCTGATGTTGAAGTTACCGTGGCGATGGATTTCGGTAATTTCTGCGATGAGCTTCAGTGCAGTGTCTACGTCGTCCGCGCTGTCGATGTAATCATCCATGTAGTGATGTTTCTTTATTGCTTCAACTGCTTCCGGGTATGTACCTTTGAACATGTCGGCGTTCTTGTTCAGCACGAAGATAGCGGACGTTGGCGAAGACGCGGCACCGAATATCATTGAATCCATCACGAAGATGTCGGGTTGTCGTTCTCTATCCATGCCTCTCCAAAGGAATAATTGTGCTCCCTGATCTTTTTCCGTGATCTTTATACGTAGGAACATGTCCTCTATGTCTGCAGTGACTGCTACTGGCTTCGATCGGAACTTGAACAGTACTGACAGCATCGGGTTGAGTAGATCTGGACCGCTAAGTAGGTTATCGTTGAGCGATGTGCCTTTGTATGTGGCGGCAGCATCGAAAACCAGCCTCAGTTTCCCAGGTTTATTCACGTTGGTCACGCCGAAGTGAGGAAGGTACCAAGTAACCGATGTGCTGATGGGTTCGGCAATCTTCTTAGCGTACCCTCGTTCCACTAATCGATTCACTTGAGCAGTGTATGACTCGGCGAACTCTGGATTGCGGCCCATTTTCTTTTCGATCCCACGCAATCTTTTCTCGGCGTCTCTGTAGTTGTCAGGTAAGTCAACGTCATCTTTTTTCCACAGAAGACCGATTTCCCATCCCTTGTCGGTGAACTTCGCAGTATTCTCGAGAATTGTTGTAGCCCTGACGTCCTCAAGATTATTGCGCTTCACTTCTGTGATTCCAATTGAATCCAATTCGAATTGCTGTTTGACCAATTCGTTTAAGTCGGAAACGTGGTTGACGGATTCAGTGTTTCCCATTTTTCCAATTGGACCGTGTAACACCCACCCTAATTCAGTGAGGGATGCCACCGGCTGTCCGGACTTTCCTCTTCGGACATCGCCTCCAACGATAAGCTCCCAGTTGTCCTGTCCGATCAACAGCAGAGGCTCAGCGCTCTTCATCGCGGTGCAGCCCAGACTCCGTAGATGCTTGCATCGACTTATCACTTCCTCCGGTATGGTCTGTGGCGGCAATCTGATTCCGTTGATCGTGCGCATAGTTAGCGTGTGGCTTTTATTGCTAGGCCCACGTAATTCCACTCTGACGCTTCTCGATCCCCGGTCAATGACTGAATGGCCACCAGCACTAACGATGTGCAGCGGTGACTTCGGTCCGTCTATGTTGACCGCCATTGAGCTATCGATTAATGACACCGTGGCGCCATCGTCTAGTAGTGCGTACGTTTGTTGCTCGATATCACCATTTTTCACTGTCACCGGTATCACTTTCAGCAACGATTTCATTCGTTTCTCGCCTAAATTCGTCACTTTTTCGGCTGGTGGCGACTCGTCGGGCTCGTCAGTTGTCGGTTTCCTCATCACGTGAAGCAACTGATGGTGATTATATTCGCACTTGCCGCACTTTTTCGCTCGGCACGACAGGCGATTATGTTTCCTCACCAGGCACTTGAAACAAAGTTTATGTTTCTTAACTAAGTCCCACTTCTTATCAGGTTCCATTTTCACAAATTCACTGCAGCTTGGCAACCGATGTTGTCCTTCACACAACTCGCACACTACTTCCGGTTCTTTTTCAGTGACTTCCATCACTTTGTGTACTATACGGTTCGGTTGACGTGCAGTCGACGTATTTGCTGGCTGTCTACTTTGGTACGTAGACTTGGGTAGGTTCGGCTTTGAAGGTGCTCCACCCATGTCAGTAGACACCAAAAACGCAGCTGTGTCGGCCAGCTCTTCTAGGAAATCCACTAGCACAGTTAAGGTCGGTGACACTCGCAAGTCGATGTTCACTTCCGATGAAACTCGCCGGGCAAACTTGCTGTATTCCGTGCGTTGTGCGGGCGTGAGCTTGTCTAATAACTCCCGCACTAACTGAGGGTTGTTCAAGTATCCGTCCGCCTTTATGTTCTTCAATGTAGACACACATGAACGGACTGCGGCACTAAAGTTTCGTAGTGCTACACTATCGTTATCAGCGACGTGGGGCAAGCTTCTGATTTTCGCCATTGCACATTGAAGTAACGTATGCGGGTTTCCGTATGTTCGATCTAGCACTTGTATTAACTCGTTCGGGTTCGTGCTAGTGCGGAGCAAATCTTCAATGAGCTCCTTAGCTTTGCCTTGCACCGCCATTTGAATTCTTGCCAAGTTTTCCGACGGCTTGAACTCGTACGTGGCCGATGACTCCTCGTATCTCCTCTTGAAGAAGAGCCAGTCTGCAGGGTCCCCGTAGAAGTTTGGCAGCTCGTAGAAGGCGCGCGGTGTAGGACGCGGCTTCGCAATTGAATGAAGTGCAGCGGCCAAGTCTTCGATCGGCAAACGGCGCTCCCTCGACGTATCGCGACGCTCTTCCGCCGCAGGCACGTGTATCGCTGCTTGTCGTCGCGGCAACTCCATGCGAGGGCGATAAAGTGTCTCTTCTGCAGCGTTGAAGGGCGATTTCTCGACCCACTCCCCAACAAGCGACTCACGGTTTCGTTCGGGTGGTTCNATAACTGATTACAGGAATTTACACATATTGGTTGGTTTTTATTTAACAAGGTGAAAATCGGTTCAGCCTTTTTGTTATAAGACGTTATTAATGTCTCACAATTAGTGATCGAACAATAAAAGCATTAGTTTTTGAAATAATAAGTGTATGTGTGTGCGTGTGTGATATACTTCAATTGTGCACCGTTTTATCATCAGTCGTTGAAAGAACAGGTATGTTTTCATGTCAATAATTTAAATTGGGGAGGCTAAAATTGACATTTTAAATTGACATTTTCTTAATTATTTGACATACTATTGAATCCTGTAATTTTTGCACGTCTGCGAGCAGACTAAACACATGATCCTATTTAATATTGTCACCCTGTATAACTGTGTTTTTGGCAAATAAACGTTTTGAATTTGAATTTTTGAATTTAAATCGCGACGCCGTTTTTAAAGGCGTCGTGAGCTAGCCTTCCCAATTTATTTACTACTAGTGGGTACTAGGAAAATTAACTTACTTAAACCCACCCGCAACACAAAATGTAACAAGATCTACAAAAATCACAACGCAAGAAACAGTACGAAAGTCACACGCACGGCATCGACACCATGAATTCGCACAAAAAAACGGACGGACAGATTACGATAACGGTCATCAGAGGACGTGCTAGAGACATAATCCTAACACGCAACCGTGGGATGAGACATGCAAAAAAGAAACCGGAACCGGAACCAGAACCAGAACCCGAACCGGAACCGGGAAACGACACAGCGGACTGGACTCGGTTGGAAACGGACTGGACCGAAGTCCTACAAATCGACCTGGACCGATACCTGGATCTTGACCAAGACTTAGACCCGGACGTGGAACTGGACTGGTCCAACTCCGAGACCGAACCAGCACAGGCGGAAGACCAGCCCAAGAGACACCGCAAGAAGAAGCGCGGCAAGAAGAGGTGCAGGAGCGGCAAGCCGAGGAACAGACATCGACCAGCAAGCAGGAGGATAGAAGTGATCCAGGCCAGTACCTTTTGACCTTAAAACCATTTAAAGTACATAACAATTATCTAGTCTGTTCTCGTTTAAGTAACTTCCTCAGTATTTAAAAACAAGTCAATAATATATAAGTATTAATTAACATTACATAGTAACCCTGTATAATCTAGATCATCCAGTTCTTGAATCTAATCTCGTTTAAGTAACTTCCTCAGTATTTAAAAATAAGTCAATAATATATAAGTATTAATTAACATTACATAGTAACCCTGTGTAATCTAGATTATTCAGTTCTTGAATTTAATCTCGCTAAATATCACATATCAATAACCTATAAGTATTAATTATCATTAGGTAATAACCACGTATAATTTAAATAGTTAAAGTGTTCTAGTTTAATCTCGTTAAATAACTATTGACGCAAATCGCATTGTTATTTACTCGTAACTCGCAACTTAAACTCACATAAATAACAAACCAGTTTGTTACGCGCCAATAGTACTACCAGTTTCTCGATAACTTTTAAATAGTAAACAAACATTCCATGAACGATTCACCGAGCGAGCTCATTTGCATATTATTTTATTTTATTTATTTAATAGGACAACCAACAAGACATACACTGGAAGACAATAATTATCAGTGAAACGTATTTTTTCTATACGCCATACACAGGCGATCAACAGCACTCGCTTACTAGATGAATCATAACTAGATTTTACCTGCCTAATGTTTGCGCCATTACCTTGTATAACTTTTAATAATTGTAAAAATCATTAACATCAATCAGACACCTATTCTGAGTATGCTAATTTAAATAATTAAACTAGTACACTAGAAATAATAATAATAAGTGCCATGTATACTATTATTGTATTAAAGAAATATTTCAAGCAATAATTGAATATTCGTTATAACAAAATAAACAACTCGTTAAATTAGTTCATTAGTTAATTGTAAACAAAAGGCCAAAGATATCTTAATAATATTGTTTTAAAACTAAGTTAGCTAAAATTAGCGTTTAATTAGTTCATTGTAAGCAAAAAAATTAAAGGTATCTTNAAATGAAACACAGGGCTCGATCCAAACGTGACAGTAATAGCGTGTTCAAACGGCGACTGAGGCATGAGCTCACACAATCAAAGCAACGGACAATTGTTATCCTTGTCTCGCTCACGCCTTAGTCTATCTTACTCTAATAACAATAGACAATAGTTACTTTGTATAGAAATTCTACTACAGAGGTTCTACCGTTAACATAAGTAATAGTAGGTATTATCTAAGGAAAGTTATTATGTAAAGACTGCTGTACCCAACAGTGTGTGCAAACATTATTCTGATGTAGTAAAGTGATAAATAAATAATGAACAGTATGCTCTTTAGGTAGGCATATTATCATGCTCTCTGTGGGCAATTAAAGTTAATATTATAAGCAATAGGTATTATCTAAGGAAAGTTATTGTGTATAGACTGCTGTACCCAACAGTGTGTGCAAACATAATTCTGATGTAGTAAAGTGATAAATAAATAATGAACAGTATGCTCTTTAGGTAGGCNCTTTGTCTCGCTCACGCCCCCAGTCCATCTTACTCTAATAACAATAGACAATGGTTACTTTGTTTAGAAATTCTACTACAGAGGTTCTACCGTTAACACCTACTATAGCTGTAAAATAACATTAATAGCTTCAGTTGTAACCCACTCTGCTCTTTCATTTCGTACCGATCTTTTCAGTTTTGGGCGTCTTCTGTTTATTTTTATATTAAAATCGAGTTTCGTTTAGATAAATAAGATTTTACATTTCTCTCTTTAAAATTCTAAGCTAACAGTAAAAGCGAGGGTTAAACAATTAATCCACTAACCCGAAAACGTAACCTCCAAAAGATAATCCAGCGAAAACAATTAAATTCGTTTCCTTTGTGAGTCTTCGCGGCATAAATCTCCGTGAGTTTTAAAACTGACTGGGCGGTGATAAATGACCGCGCGGGCAGCGGATAAGGCGCATCTTCTTTCGCCTCACTCTTGTTCTTGTGGTTAAAGACTGGTAATGTTTGTGGGAATCCGTTCCAAACGCACAGCACCATGATCTAACGCAGCTCATAGTAGTTGTATTCAGTGGTGATCTTATAGTTGTCCAACACTGAACTGTTCCAGTTATGACATTCTCAGGAGGGCGTAACTATACTACATACTGGGTTATTAGTTTCTGATTCTTGCCAGTTGACATTTAAAAGTTTGACTATAATAGGAAATGTCCATGGCATTTGGACTTCATTTTCAGTTAGATGTAGGTACTGCGTAGAAGTGCATCACAAACATCTTAGCTAGATGGAGTGGTTCAAAAATTACTCTGGCTATCAGATGTGGCAAAACAACTTTCAAAAGCTTTTTCATCAGTTAGTTGCTTTTATGATTTACTCAAGAGCTTGCCCCAGTCTGGGACATGACTGTGATCAATTTATAGAACGCTACCAAACGAAGTGCCACCAGTGTAGATAAAAATATTTACTTTATCCCATAACTTTATGCGGACAAAAAAGAAAAAGAAAACCATAATCCATCTAAACACTATATGGACAATACCATCAAACATGCGGTCCTTATTAGACTTTCGTTATAACTTTACGAGCATACAAGTATACATGAGAGAAATACTGAAAAAATAAAAGAAATGAACGTGTTTTTACTACAGCCAGTAAACAGTAAGTATCCGTTGTTCAGTTTACGAGAGTATACTGGTACAACCATAATATTATACGCTTTCTTTTAGAATATAACTTCTAAGCTAGAAAATAAAGTAAAAGGGCATAAATCTTAGTGACGAGTTTTGGAAGAAGCGTTGATAAATGGCGAGCGCGGGATAAGGGCGCGTCTTAATTTTACTCTAACTTGCTTTACGACTTGAAGTCTGCGTGGTGACGAGAGCACTGGTGTGCAGCTCTGAGAAGTAATTCAGTGGGGGTCAATAAAAACTAAGGCTGTGCAAAATAATGATGAAGAATAGCTAGTTATTCTAGCAACAGTTTTGAGTAGGTACCTAAGTTCGCAAAATCAAAATCGAAAAGTGTAAAGTTTACTGTTCTATTGTCGTACTTGCAAAACCAATCCATAATAATATCCATCATGATCATGAACGAGTATAATATGATATTCATACATATTGGGCTTGGCTCGATACACCATTAAGAAGGCGACGTTGGGAACATGACGCTATTCCTAAACCTACTTTTATTCCGTTTGTTTTTCCATCTCTCTCGCTCGATCTGTTTAGAGCGAGAGAGACGTAGACAGTAGAAAATACTGAAATCTTGTTGCGCAATATGTTTCTGAACCAGCTCAATATAATTACGATGTATGACACTGTGGCGGAAGCGTAATCCTCGGTAATGACGCGGTCCGAACGGGAGACAGTTCATAACAACGATATTTATGGAAAATGGGACTTTAATGTTACTAGTTAAATGGAAAACTGTTTGGAGAATTAGAATTTTAATGGCTTAGGTGAAGTGCTACACAGCTTTGTATAATTGTTCAAAGGTACTCCTTATCTAACCCACAATAGACGGAAAATTAAGCAAGCTATAGTAGGTAGGTACCAGGTTAAGTCCAGTTTTAATTCCAATTTTATTTCAAATCAGAATTCTAAAAGTAAATATTTTTTACCCCTGATATTCATTAATAACATTGCGTGTTCGAGCTAATTTCTGCTAAATTGAAGCTGCACCACTCGCTTTTCTTGATATTACACAGACTTCTTGGATTAGTTGTTACTTGTTAGATATCTTGACCTCGCAATTGAACCCTCGTATTATCGCTTACATCGCTGCATCCAGCGTCTGAGGTCGCATTAGAAATCTTTTCCACGCTGACTGAGATATTATGTAAAAAACCTCCGCGAAATTTCGCGCTCCTGACTCGGCGGTGCAGCCAGCGTTATCAAGAGTCAGATTTTTCCTTTGAAATGTAAGATTTTCAAGGAATTCAAAGGTTGGCTACGTTTGAAAGGAGAATCG